ACATACATACATATGGGCTCCAATGTTGGGAGCCTTTGGATGGTTGCTGATCGGTTGATCATTTGAGTGTATGAGCTTAATGGGTATAAACCCGTTTAGAGTGCATGATTTAATAGTGAACGGATTCCATATATTTGAATACATTAAAAAAGGAATTGGATGAGAGAATTATCATAATTGCATGTACATTTTAAAAATAGAAACATTAAATGAGCGTGAAATTGGAAATAATATCTTGTAAATATGGAAACTTACGTGATTGCATGGTGAGGTTTGAATAATGATAATATAATGGTGAAAAATGGAAACTGACTATATGGAAAAACGAACTTTTTTTTTTGCAAACTAGGTATGTAATATTAAATACTGATCCTTCTCATATTTGGAAACATGAAAACTAATTATTTGAAAACATGCATACTATATATCGCAGCACATTTTTATGGCAATGTATCTGTACCAAATTATTCCATTCATGATGCCATTAATTTAGCTATTTAAGTCACAAAGTATGCATTGCGGATCACTTTCCAAGTTTTAGGTGCAAAGCTTGACATATACTCAAAAATTGGGTATGAAAGGGAAAAAAATCCCATGTAGGTATATACATTGTACCGATGTACATATGTAATATAGTTTGATGCGCGTGTGGCATTCGTGTAGGTATATACTAAAAAATTGGGTATGAAAGGGAAATAAATCCCTTGTAGGTATATACATAGTACCGATGTACATATATACGTAATATAGTTTGATACGCGGGTGACATTCATGTAGGTATATACATAGTACTGATTTATATATGTAATATATACACTCCTTATTAGTTTGCATGAGCTTGGAAGAAATTAAAGTTTGCATGACCATCGAATAAACTATCACCTTTTTTTTTCTGGCTATGTACCATTATGTATCTAAGTATAATATACCTACTGTGTCTGGGTATAGAAAAATAGTGGTTTATAGAAAAATATAGCAATATTTTCAAGTACCTATTATGCGTACTGTAATTATATATATTCGAGTTATATAGCAACATTATTAGGGTATTCGTACTATATTTATATTTTTAAGTCTAATGTACCATATATATACCTATTAGTACCTACCCAAAATTACGGGGTGCTTACCCAAAAATTTGAAGTTATGGGTATGTGGATATGCATAGTGTTTTAGTTAGGCACTTATATACCTTGTTTATTAATTTAAACTGAACTCAAAACTATAGATGTCCCTTTTTTTAATTATTTTTTATCATAGATACATGCCATTGGGTATATACCTGATTTTAAGTAGGGTGTATATCCGTTTAAATTGGGTATATGCCTGACTTTTATATTCTTTTAAATTAGGTATATATCTAATTTAAAATACGGTATTTAGCTGGGTATATAGCATTGGGTATGTGCCATTGGGTATGAGGCGAAAGCAGTAAAGCACTAATTAGCGGGTACTGTCTCCATTTGGAATATACACAGCAGTCACAATATTGATTCAATGAATTCATGATAAAGAACCTCTTGTCACAATATATTTTTGATGAAAAATACACCAAAAGTTATTCAGATATAAAATAAAAGAATAAACTAGTTCTGAATTAATCTATACACTGTTCTCGGAGGATAACAGCAAAGCTTGCGAACGATTTCGCCACGAGGCAACGACGAAAGGACATATACAGCAAGAATAAAAAAAATGATAACCTGTAGCTGGTCGATCCTAACGTACATGGAAACTGCAAAAGTCATATTCCCTCCCTTCTTCCTTTTTTATATGAATCAAATAATTCAAATTGAAAGTAACGGAGTGAACGACGAACATCATATCATGGACGACCGGCGCCGACAGTGGTGACGAACCTCACCGACGACTGGTGATGGCGGTGCATGGCGACGAAGCACACAATGACACGGCTGCGCGATCGTGGATGACCGATGCCGGCGGCCGTGACGACGAATCTCAAAGACGACCTGTGCGGCGGCGAGCAGCGCGTGGCGACGAAGCTACGTACAACATGGAAGCGCGACAGAACATGTGTTACGCTCCCAGATCAGTAAAATACTTTTGAAAACGAAAAATCATCGATACATATATAAGGTACCTTAAAAAATTTCCATGGCGAGGAACGAGCTTGAGAGTCATGGACGATCGACGGCGCAAAAAAAAGCAACTGATTGGCGTCGGAGACCTGGTTGTGCGTTGACGAATCTCGCGAACGACCAGTAGCCCACTACGAATTAAGAAGCTCTCTCCCACGTCCGGCCGGTGGCGCAATAGCTTGGCGATGAATAAGCTCGCCGACGTCCGGCCATCGGTGTATGTAGCATTGAGTCGAGAGTGGAGTGTGTCATCTCTATCATTTTACATGTACACAAAGAATGGAAAGTATTAATTGGTATGATGGAAATAATTAAATCAATTACAACGTAATTAGTGGATTTACATCGAAATTTGTGGATCCAATTCAATGTCATCTCAAATATGAAAATAAATTATCACACAATCATATGGAAATAAATTATCATGCAATCACCAGAAAATTAGTACATGCATGTTTGCTCTATGGAAAGGGAATCGCATCATGTCGTGCACACGCTGCATGCAAATCATGAGGATACAACAAAAATAGAAAGGTCTAATCGGGTTTAACCCGTTACTATATGTCTAACACTCTGGTTTTAAGTAGCACGGATCTCAAAGCATAGTACACGGTGGATTCTCTTGGAGCCCATACTCCATGTAGCACCAGCTAATTTACCTCTATATATATACACATGCATACATACATGCATGCATACATATACATATACATATACATATACATATACATATACATATACATATATATATATATATATATATATATATATATATATATATATATATATATATATATATATAGATATATATATATATATATATTGATGTGTGATTCCTTTTAGCATTCTTTTTTTAATAACAAATAAAATGCCCGTGCATCTGTGTGAAATTCTTTTCCGAATTATATTCTAGAATTGTACTCCAGTTTATATCATGTCATTATAGCATTTGAAACACAAACTATAATACATACCCATGTGAATGTGCGGGCTATCTTTCTTAAAAAAAGCCTGGTGTACAACTGGGGCCACTGCTTTTCTCAAAAAAATGTGTATTCCAAATACATATTGTTATATCAAATAGTAACCATGATACAGACCAATAACCATATAACGATAAGGAAGAGCTTGTCAGTAAATCCACTCAAGAAGACCACCTTCCAACTTCCCAATGTTTACTGGTGTGTAGTCCCAGCAGAGGCACAAAATCATATGATTTTAGCCTTTTGAGCAGCAGAGGCGAGAGATGTGGCAGATGCCTTTCCTCCTCTACTTGTACCACCTAAAGGGCACAAAACAACCCCAAATAAATATTAGCACAGGGTTTGCATTAATACAGGAAACAAAAATCATTGAAGCATCACCTAAGCTAAAAATTGAATCTGACATATAATTACATTGTCAGAAATATCTATAGTAAATTGAGAATCAAATACACGTGATCATATTGACATGCCATCACCAAAGTAATTTATCCTCACCACTTAATTTATTGTACATACCAGTATTTGCAATGTTCTGCTGCACACATATCGTGTTGGTTGTGCAATGGACATGATGATGAAATCAACACTGCCTAACAAACATAGAATCATTTCTCAGAGTTTAGTTCATCAAGCAAAATCAATTTTAGAGTTTGTTTAGTTCAGGATAGCAAAATGATTTCAGATTTACTTTCACATCTTTGTTATCCATATTTTTATATACAAATACAAGTAAATTGTTGCTCTGATCTTGAGGTCACACCGTCACAGACTCATATCCTGAGAGGATTTACAAGGAATCAACAGACTTACAACATAAATGCATGAGCATATGGTTTACGAGCAACCAGCTATGATCACAAACATCTGCTTCTTTTCTGTTTTTTTAGTAGATAAGCTCCACCCATTTAAAACCCATCCTTTGTACCTTCAGAGGAGCAGCTACCCATTCCTTTTACCACAAACTGAAAAAATTGTTTAGTCATCTCAGAAATCCAGGTAGCAAATAAGATTCATTCGGGCATGTCATATGCTGATGGCCTCCTAGCACTTACAAATAGAAAATGTCCATAACCAACTAATTCGGGGAGAGACCAATTATAATTACTAGTTGCCCACCCATGCATTGCACGGGTTGAAAAAATTAGTAAAAATCTAATTAATTAGTTTGAGAACTTAAAAACTCAACAATTCATCATCAATGTAAATCATAAAAAAAGTATCACCATGAGCATTGTGCGAAATCTTAAATAATAAAACATCATTTTTTTCTTATTGTATTGAAGAGTTTTTTTTTTTACATTTGCACCATATGTCCATAATTTGTCTGATTTAAGGGTCAGCATCTCAAAATCCAAATTTATGATAAGTGATGATGTTAGTACTGGAGACTGGAAAGCTCCCGTGTGACAAAAACACACGGTAACTAGCCAAAAACGCCCCGGAACAGCGTTACCGTGTGCCATCACACGGTAACGAACACACGGCGGCTTCACCACTTTACCGTGCGCAGTTCCCATGGGGATATGCAAAAAGCGCACGGTAACACTAGGGACCATACCGGGTGTCCAGAAACTCACGGGAACACCTGTCCCTACCACGTGGCAAATTTTAACGTAACGGAGTTCACCGTCAAATGAACGGTAGGTTCCCGGGTGAACCAAAAACACGGTAACATACCGTGCGCTGACGGAAACTCTCGGTATGCTCCGGTGTGTTACCGTGCGTTATAGTATAATAAACACACGGGAAGCAATCGTTACTGGGTTTGTACAGTGGATATAATTATTTTTTATTTCTGATTTTCATTTAGTTTCTTTTTTATTGTCACTTATTGCATCAAAAAAGAAACACCACATGCTACATGCACCACAGCTCACATCCATATAAGGTGAAACCACATAATTCACCAAATAAATTTAGGTTTCAACATACACATGTTAATTAAAGAAATATCAAAGCTTTAAGACAAGCTAGCTTGCCTACTCTACAAATTCAGACAGTCATGTGACATCTCAACAGATGAAGCAGCTGCATATATTTCATCTTAATATATCTATCAGCCGACCAAAGCAACAAATTCTTCCATAGATCAATAATTCAATATCGAATCAGTCAAGATGATGGGTGGCTGCTGTTTGTCACCTTGAGTTGATACATGAGTGTAGATCCTTGCAATTGTTAGATACTGGTAAGGAGACAAGATAGCAACACATGTGTAAAACCACTGTGCGATTGGTAGAAACAGAATGGATATGAAATTCTAGATTTGACATATGTTTCCAATAATTGGTAAATAAGAAAGCTTACTGAGCAGTGCTGAAAGAAAAATAATCTAGCACAAGATAAAGTTCCATGGGCATACCGTTTACTTTAACTAAAAACAATTTAAAATGATAGAAAGGCAAGGAAATGTAAACTTGTTTATCGACATGAATCCTATTAATAAACTATTAGAATGTGATAATGATAAATTAATCTACAGTTGCTCACTGAAGTCTAAAATTACTTACTCAGCTTATTGCAGGAAACACCCGAGTGGAATACTAGAATCCGCACATGAAAAGAAAAACAGCCAGCATGAACAGTAGATGTCATGGACAGGATATGAGAAGTGAGTATTGTTTCAGTCAGTTACCAATACCAATTTACACTACCTATTAGTACCAAAGCAATTACTGCAATTCATTCAGTTACAAATTTACAGTTGCACTATGGGAGTGAATTTCTGGGCTTCAGTATTTAATTCATACTACCCTGTTTTTACAACAAGGCAACATACATGTTGAGTGAATGACTACGATACAAAATCAAAAGCAGTACTCATACTATTGTGTTTCAAAAATGAGATATATAGTGCGATAGTCAGCATAGCATTTTATTGGGAAAAAATGTTGATCACAAATTGGTGAGGCACTTTGGAGAACTACTGAGAGATTGTATAAAGAGCATACCACATCATGAGATAACATGAGCTTTAAATTTTTGCATCATATAGTGAGATAATATAATAATCAGGGAAAATAACTGCACAAATCTACCAACTGGTGATGAGCACGAGCTAGCATGCATAGAACACGACCTTTTATAGTTATAAATGCAAAGGACATGCTGTGAAGTGTCAACTTGCAGCCATTAAGACAAACACCTTGTAAGCATAATTCACTGTATCTTGTGGACTGCAGTTTTGCTGATTTCTTCACTGACCCAACCAACCCAACCCCTGAATCATGTACTGAGAAAGGAATGCAGTATCATTTGCAATCACATGGATCTACTACTTCCCCATTGCCCAGTTGCCGAAGAGACGATTATACCGTTCGAAAAAAAAAAGTTTCCTACTTGACACACACCAAACCAAAGAATAATAAACATTAACTGACGATTGATCCAATGTCGAACCCTAACCATCGCCGCAAACAAGTAGCAGCAATACAGCATTGCATATGCGATTTCAGAAAATATATATAATGGATTGGTAAATGCCACGCTCAAGAACAAAATCAAGAATTTGCCAAAAATGCCTTGATGCTCTTTTCATTCCCTTCTGGATGGATGCAATCTCGTGGACAGGACAGGTGTAACAATCCGATGCAAAACCTACTTTTGAGGTTTCGAATAAACATGATTACAGACATTGATGTAACTGCAAAGGGAAGCAAAGCATGATGATATATATAGTGTGTCATGGTTTACCTGATATATGAACGTAAGAAAGAAGATACACAAAGGTAAAACATATGAGTTTGGTTGATTTAAATTAACTGATATGTTTTATTACCCTTGAAAACTACAAGCATACGAAATAAAATTATTTTGATTTTATTGTCTGATTTGTTGAACAAATAAACCAATATTCGGACGGCTAAGCCTGCCCGATCGAGTGGTTAAATCACCTATCGACTTTTTTAATTGATAACATATATAGCATTTGTCTTTTCCTTCCAGCATACAATCAGGTGATGCTCAACTCTGCCAATGATTACTCACTGAGACACTGGTTCTTGCAATATCGTCTAAAGAAATCTGTAGCTGTTTGGCACTAGACACCACTCATGAAGATGCAGTACAGGTTTATATATATTTTTTCTTACAGACCGAAAACTGCACTATGCATGCATAATCCTTTTTGCTACACAAGCTAAATCACATGAAACCTTATTATGCTCAGGTGTTACAGAGACGCCAGTTTATTACGTCTATCAGAAAGATCTGAAGAAAAAATACTAAAAGATGTGGTGCATTCAGTTCAGCTTCTGGAACTGAAGCAATTTTTTTCCCTGGATAAAGATTCAGACATGGAGATGTTTGGTTCTATCAAGAAGCTGAAGAAACCAGACTAAATGAAAAGCAAAAGAAGGGGCTAGAAGTGATGAATGGATTTGATACTGAGAAGTTGGAATCATGCCAATGCTCTTGATTTGCACCTAACGAAATGGATTTTCCTCCTCGAGTTGAACTCCTGTTTTTTTAACTTGAATTCCTGATGCTTCTCCTTCTTATTGTGCCATTTGCTAAGATTTGTTATTGAATCTTTCATCAGGCTAGATATGGAATTTTCATTGTTATCGCCCTGAACTTCCCTACAGTTCTTCTCAAAGCAGAGAACTGCCTTATTTGGTTCTGAAGGTTCATGCTATATATCACTTGTGTGTAGTGTGATGATTTTTGTTGCATGTAAATAAGCTGCATGCTCTTTACTTAGGCTGAGGCAGTTAAACTGTGTGCAGTCGTGCAGAGATGCCTATCATTTATGATTGAGATTACGACGTATAAATTTAGACAAACTTTACAACATAAATATTTTTTCAACATTCTGGAGACTGAAGTAATCAAGATTAATTAACACGGATTTACCATCACAACTTTGTTGCAAGATAGGAGGATGGCCCTAGTTGTCATTGATGACTCAACCAAGCTATCAAAGATATTTCCTGGCAATAAAATCAACCAAATCATCTAATTAATACTATTAATGTTTGCTTTCATCTAAATACATAATATTTCCTAGCAAACAAATCAACCCAATCATCTAAAAAGTGCTCTGCTAATATCTTCAGCTCAGAACGAACAGTCTTGAAAACGGCTATATATGCCAGGCGTTGCTCAGAGGGTTGTCACAACATCAGGCTAGCTTCTGTCACTTAGGTATGTAGTGAATACGTAAGACCACAAAAACCAGAGGGGGGGTGAATGGTTGTAGTACCAAAAACCAAAACTTTTAGCGGAATTAAAAGTTACCCTCAATTCGATGTCACACGGTCAGACCGGAGTAGATGCGCTGGTCTAACCGCATGGAAACCACCGGTCTAACCGCTGTAGTCGCTCCGGTCTGACCGCCGAAATCTGCTACTGTCGTCTGTAGCCGCCGCCAGTCTGACTCTGACTGCCGTTAGTCCGTCGGTCAGACCAATCCGATGTCGTCGGTCTAACCGGTGGTGTCTTGCCGGTTGGACCGCCGAACCCGAGCAAATACAAATCGAAGAACTCTCAAAGTATATGACAACTTTATTACTTCTCTTTGTGTTTATAAAGTGCAACAACAGCACTTCTCACGAAAATCTCGAGTACTAAACTTGAAACCCTAACTATTCTCCCAACTCAATGCTCTCTAAAACGATACCGGGAGGCCACACCCTTCTTCTCTATATATACCCGAGGTAGGCAGCCTAAAGCCACGAACCAAACTTGTACAAGAAGTCCTAATCCCCTAGGAAACCTTTCTGTATAAGAAACTAACTTTACAAATAACAATTGTACCAAATTTGGACTCCCTCCAAATTCGACTCCGCACCCCATACGCACACAATACCTTCATCGTATGCCATATAGAATCTTCACCAACCATGTGCATTGATCTTTAGCCTAAGTATCTGTCACGCCCAGAATTTCTATCCAAAACTCCAAACGCTTACATACGTGTAAACCCTCGTCCAGGAATCAGCTGAGACACACAATAACAAATTGATAATAGAGTGCAATTATTATTCTATTTAATAGGCGAATATAAAGTCATTACAGAGGTAGATAGTTCCTCTCAAACAATAAAGATCTAAGCAGCGGAAAATAAAATAAAAAGCGTAGGCGACTCCATCCCACAAGTAGCTAGACCAGGGCTACGCCTAATCCTCCACACCTTCAGCATCACTGTAGAACTCCTCCTATGATGAATGATTGCAAGGTGAGTATATGACATACTCAACAAGCCACGCAGCAAATATGCAAGTGCAGGGGATAACAAAGGATTGCATAATATAGTCTTATTTGCATAAATGGCATTCAATAAATACTTAAGAATATAGAAAAAACAGTAAAGTATTTAATTAAACAATATTAATCCAACGCTATACAACATACCCGTTGTATAGGTCCAACCATTCTGAACAACCATTCCCGGCTGCACAGTTCTATCTCCAAACCAGGAATATACCATTCCAAACCAGGAGCTAAACAAGTTATTACCAATTACAGCATCATTTATTATGGTGAGAGGTATGAGACTAATCACGAAAGACATTGTTAGACCCGCCCATAACAGCGGTGTGGAGATTATGGATACCCCATATCTACATGGCATGTATAGTACGACTAGGTACAGGGTGCCATATATAGATAGAATATCTTTATGAGGACTCGGGTTAAGTTTAAACTTGTATGTCAAAGAAATATACGAGATCCTAGTCGGTGACGATTGTATTTTATCTGTAATTGCATATTCCGTTAGGGATATGGACTGTATTTTGTAATACTGACCCCTTCCCCTATATAAGGAGGGGTCCGGGTCCCTCTAGGGACACGATTTTCTCCCAGATCATACGATCAATAATACACTCGGCGGATCAATCCCTGGACAGGAGTAGGGTATTACTTCTTGATTAAGCAGGCCTGAACCTGTATAAAATTATTTGTCTCCAAACCCATCCACTTTTCTAGCTTGGTAGCCACCCCCTTTTAGTATTGCCGAAATCTTGTTTCGACAGTTGGCGCGCCAGGTAGGGGTAGCGTCAAGTTCTTCGCCGATTAAGTGCGATGGGTTCCGTCTCCGGCATCGACGACTTCGTCTTCCCTCCCGGGCAAGCGTTCTGGTTCAGCAGCCTCGACTTCATCACCAACGACTTCGGCAAGATTTCTCTCCTCGACTCGGATTCAAATCAGTCAGGGAGAGACCAGGTCCCAGCCCCGTTCGGTATTCCGAACTCGGCCGAGATCTACCCCAAGCTTATCTCGATCAAGTCGGCTCCAAACCACTTGGACGAGATCCCATCTACTTCAACACCACCAGATCAAGATGATGGGGCCTACCCGCCAATCCTGATGAAACTCCCCGACGATCTGGCTGTCGTCTTCACTACAAGGACGTCTTCTCCCCGTAGGCCTAAGCGGGATCCGGCTTTAGCATGGATCCGGCCTAGCTCCAGGGAAGTCGGCGTCATACTCCAGCCACTCGGCACGATTTCGACGGATCAATTGGAAGGCTACTTCAGCTCCCCCGGCGTCGACTCACGACCAACAGAGATCGTAGAGTATGATTAATTCGGCTACCTCTATGACAACCGTGACCTCGACGACTTCAACGAAAGCTTTGAAGATAACTACACCCCTCTCTATTTCGGCGTCTTCATGGCCGATAACGAGACGGAAGAACAACGCCAAGCCCGAGAAGCAGAAGCACGACGCGTACAATAGGAGGCCGAGCGACGCCGACTGGAAGAGGAGCGCCAAGCACAAGAGCAAGAACAGCTGCAGCGTGAGCAACAGGAACGTGAACGGGTTGCAAAGGAGGCTGAGGACCGATGACAACGAGCCTTGGATGTAGGGCGACGAGCGCGAGATCTTATCAGGCAGCAAGGCGTTGAGGGGACAGCGGTCTTCTGCACCCCTCAACAGAACGCGGTTGCGGCGATCACTCTCCTCGACACCCTCCTCAAGGAAGACGCACTCAACCAAGCTGATCACGTTATCAACATCTTGAACCAGACCAAGACCATGATTGCCGCCTCGGTCCCGGTTAACTCCGCAAGCGTCCGCACGCCGACTGGTAGCCGAGTTCCCCATCTTCGGTCTCAAGATTATCACCAGCCAAGCCTCAGCATTGCTGGCGCGGGATACAATTGCAGGAGCAGGGGCCACAACGAGCGATCTGTCCACTCGCCTCCCGAACGACACAGGGAGCGCCGAGTTGAACGGCCTCGCTCCCCACCTCGTAGGCGCCCCGTCAATCTTCGTGATACAATCAATCAGCGCCGCGTAGCACGAGGCTACGCGCACCGCCATTCTCCGGATCGCTATGACGACGACGTGGATGGAGTTGCTGCCTTTACTAACGACCTGCGTCGAGTGGATTGGCCAGCCGGCTTCAAGCCGACTAGAATCGAGAAGTATGACGGCACCACTAATCCGGAGTCTTGGCTCACCGTCTATGGTCTCGCAATCCGTGCAGCAGGAGGAGACAGCAAAGCCATGGCAAACTACTTGCCTGTGGCCCTAGCGGATTCTGCTCGGTCCTGGCTTCATGGGTTACCCCGTGGCACGATTGGATCATGGGCGGAGCTTCGCGACCACTTCATCGCCAACTTCCAGGGCACCTTTGAACGCCCTTCCACACAGTTTGATCTCTACAACGTCATTCAGAAGTCTGGAGAATCCCTTCGAGATTATATCCGGCGCTTTTCTGAACAACGCAACAAGATCTCCGACATTACCGATGACGTCATCACTGCCGCTTTCACCAAGGGGATTCGTCACGAAGATCTAGTCGGCAAGTTCGGG